CGGGCGGATTGCTCGAGGTCAGGAGTTCGAAACCAGCCTGAGCAAGAGCGAGACCCCGTCTCTACTATAAATAGAAAGAAACTAATTGGCCAACTAATATATATAGAAAAAATTAGCCGGGCATGGTGGCACATGCCTGTAGTCCCAGCTACTTGGGAGGCTGAGACAGAAGGATCGCTTGAGCCCAGGAGTTTGAGGTTGCTGTGAGCTAGGCTGACGCCACGGCACTCACTCTAGCCTGGGCAACAAAGCGAGACTCTGTCTCAAAAAAAAAAAAAAAAAAAGAAAAAAAAAAAAAGATACACACCATGAAAAACACCTGTTTGTAAGATTTATGAGACAATTAAAAAGTTGACACTAGATGTTTGATATTAAGAAATTATTTTTAGGTGTGATAATGGTATTTTAGTTATGTTTAAAGATAAGCCATTGTCTTTTAGAGATTCACCTTGAATTTATTTATAAGTGAAATTTATTATATTTATAAGTGAAATCATATGATATCCAAGATGCTTCAAAATAGTCTCGGGAAAAGGAATGGAGGTGTGGATAGGGCAGTTTGGCCATGGGCCTGGCCAAACTGGGTTGTTGGTACTGGATGGTTACTAGGAAATTCATTGTATCATTTTATCTACTTTTGAATATGTTTGAAATTCTCCATAAAAAACACTAAAAATATTAATAAGTTGTTTATAGCACCTTTAATAATAGGTATGTAAGTGAATACTGCACATCTTACCATATAATTAAACATCATTGTTTTATGGACTACAAAAACAGTTCTCTCTACCATCCTTGACCCAAGCCAAGCTCATTTTAGGTTTCATTTTAGAGGTATACCCTAAACTTGTTAGAGCATCCTTGAGAAGTCTGGCTTAGTCCCAAGTGAGCCTTGATTTGTCAGACCTCTAAGAAATTGGGTTAGTTTTTTCTGGACCTTAAATCTAATCTAATTCAAAAAGAATCTTAGACTAAAGGTCAAGGTTTGACCTTGTGATAAAGGATAAGTGATAAAGGATAGTGATAAAGGATAAGAGATTGATGGACCCTAGTGTTCACATTCCCTTAGCTTTCAGTTTTAAGTCTCATAGAGATACCGCCTTCGTAGCTCTCTTCCCTCCTCCACTGCTCTAGCTATTTTAACTCATTAAATCTGGCCCCAAAGCCTAAGCACTGAACCACCATTTTGCGGCAGAGCTAACAAGGATAGAGGAATATTTTTATTTGCCAAAGGGGGATGGATAGAGCATATGTATTCTACCCATATGGGATGCCCAGGAATCAGATGTTTACTTAGGGAAGGGAAGGGGAGAGGGGAAAGAATTGGCCACAGCTCCTATGTTAAATGCTTACTTAAAATTTTGGTCTTCCTGTGCTGAACTGCCTGTTGGTGTTACAGGATCCCAACTCTTCATCATTCCTTCTCAAGACCTACCTTTGGGATAATTTGCATTTCTCCAACTAGTCTTGTAATTGCCCTCTGAATTGGAAGACAGTATTCTTACCTTTCTTACCCTAAGGAAGTGGGGCACACTCACATACTACAATTTTGTAAACTAATTTAGTCAATTTCATATTTGAATGTCTAAATCAAACTTCTCTAATATTATTATTATTATTATTATTTTGAGACAGAGTCTCGCTTTGTTGCCCAGGCTAGAGTGAGTGCCATGGCGTTAGCCTAGCTCACAGCAACCTCAAACTCCTGGGCTCAAGCAATCCTGGTGCCTCAGCCTCCCGAGTAGCTGGGACTATAGGCATGCACCACCATGCCCGGCTAATTTTTTCTATATATATTAGTTGGCCAATTAATTTCTTTCTATTTATAGTAGAGATGGGGTCTCACTCTTGCTCAGGCTGGTTTCAAACTCCTGACCTTGAGCAATCCGCCCGCCTCGGCCTCCCAGAGTGCTAGGTTCTCTAATATTATTAAGGAAAAAAAAAACCAGAGGTGCTAGACATTAACTAACCACTGTCTGCAAAAAATAAAATAACCTCATTGGTACTACATTTTTTTTTTTTCATTTTATTTTTAAGAATCCTTGCTGGAAAGGAAGAGACCCAAATTAGAAACTGCAAAGGACGTTCACATCTAATCACAGTCCCTAGCTTACGTATAAGCTAAAAAATAAACCAGTTCTAATCTGCTGTTAATAAAAAATAAAAACACTTGTCTATGCTTGAAAAACTATAGAATGAAACATAAGAAATCAGCATAAACCACCACCACCAAACTGTTTTTTTGAGTTTAAGCATTAAAGTGACACACCTTCCTACTGAGAAATAAAAGAAAAAGATTATTAACTGGTATCCTTCATGGACCTACATGTTTCAATTTAGGGTCATTCTTACCAGGTAACTAGCAAGGCCTAAGGGAAAAGAAGAATCTTTATATCAAAGCCCTGAAGCCAGATAGGGAGATTACGTCCTGGGGAACTGCCTTTGATTCTTCCAGCTTTGCAGAAAACAAGATTGTCTGGGGTTTTTAGCCCTGGTGTGTGTGTAGGTTCATAGTCAGAATCTCCAGAACTAGGGGAGGGTCAAGAGCATGTAAAATGCTCCACCACAGCAGCAAAGGGAGCTTCCAGAGGCACAAGGCAAGATCTAACCCTGCACAGGTCCTGTGTATCATAAACCATGTGCTGCCTGTGTTGGGCAGGCACGCTTGCTTCTCAGTCTTGGAGTGCCACTGTTTTTCCTGCCCTGTGTAGCTGCCAGTGTGCAAAGTCAGTTTTGTTGCACCTACATTTGAAGAGCTTGTATTCGTTGCCTATGTCTTCGTTGATCACAGCACTGCCACTGTGCTCTAGCATGGGCTCTGTACAACTCAACACATGTCTAGGATGGCCCTAAAGACTCTGGGAGGGGAGCCAAGAATTCAGACATTCAAAGACTGTAGTTTACATCTTTACCTCTATACAGAAACCAAAACAAACTGCAAACTGACAATGGTTTTGAGGACCTAAAGAATTTAGACAAGTTTTTATAGTCAAGGGCTCTGTCTTACTTATCTTCCACCCCCACCTCCAAATATCTAATACAATATTTGGTGCATAATAGTTTTGGCCTTTTAGGAGCTAAACAAATAACACTTCTTGCTTTCCTTCTTAAGTTGGGAACCAACTGAGAGAGAGACTCAGGAATCAGCTAGAAATCAACAGGCTGCTGCTAGCACATAAGTTGCCTTTGTTCAGATTAGAAAAGGCATGTCCTTTTTCTTCATTTGGGCATATGAATTATAAGAAAACGCCCACTCCTAGAAGATGCTTTTAAAGAAGGACTGTCTCTGGGTGAATGAGTTAGAAGAAAGGGGCCAGGGAGCTGGCTAGCTGGGCTGGACTTCAATCCCTACTTGTTGCCTGGGTCAGCGCCTTCGTGTAGGGTGACTCTGGAGAAGGGAGTTTTTGTTTTTTTAAAAAAAATTAATAAAAGTTCAATTAGAAAAAAATTGAATTAGAGTGTATTACCTAGATGTGCCATCCGATCTCTCATTAATTGAACTTAGTAGGATTCTCCTGCTAGTGCTAGAACTTGGCCCATATGCTTACCACCTAGTGGAGAGTCAGCCAGGACGTTGCACTCCCTAGAACAGTGAATATGAAAAAGTGAGGCCCAGAAGAGCCTCTGCCAAGCTTGTTCAATTCTTTCTACCAAAGTCCACAATAATATACTTCATTTCTTTCCTGTGGAAGGAATGAAGGGAGGTGAGGAGGGAGGTCAGAGGTATTACTGTTAAAGAAGTTCTTGATCATGGACTCCTAAGACCAGGAGAAAGGAGGTTCTCAGTGATATAAGTACTCAATTGATGTTTCCTGAATGAGTGGATAAATTTTAAGCAGAAGCAGATATGCTATTTATTGTATGAATGTAGCTAGGAAAGAACAATGGTAAGACTAGCCAGGAAGCAAATTTTGTGGGCTGAATGAATGTTTTGTGACTTGCTCATGTATTGGGAGTGTGTAAACCACACTTTGCTTGTTATTTGGAGGGCATTTTAATCCATAACATTGGAGGTAGGGGATTGACTACTGACAATGGAACAGAAAAGGGCCATTTGAAGGGTTTAAGTGTTCAGAGAATGAGTTGGAAAGCACTCAAGACATGTTGATTTTGGAGAAAGATTAATCAACTAATTCAGAAGCCATTCAGATATGACTGGAGGGAGAGAAGATGAGGAGTTGGAGCAGTGATTTCTTATCTTGAGTAGATTTGAACAGATTCTATCTCTAGTAAATATAATGATGGGTACGTTTTTTTCCTTGGGAAGAGGAAAAAAGGGACAAACCCAGCAATTCTCAAAATGCTACTTCAGGAGAAATCCTTTTCTCTCCCCTTTGATATCAGTGAGAATGTTGCATAAGAGAAAGAACAACAGAGGAAGTGAGGAGGCCCATTTTTGTGCTTTTTGGGAGACTATGTGTGTGTTGTCTTATTTATTATACTTTAATTACATTTCTAATTTACATTAGTTTATCAGCTTAGTCAGGGATTTTGAGACCCTAAGACATGAAACAAATGAGGTTTTTTTTTTGAGACAGAGTCTCGCTTTGTTGCCCAAGCTAAAGTGAGTGCCGTGGCGTCAGCCTAGTTCACAGCAACCTCAAACTCCTGGGCTCAAGCAATCCTCCTGCCTCAGCCTCCCGAGTAGCTAGGGCTACAGGCATGTACCACCATGCCTGGCTAATTTTTTCTATATATATTAGTTGGCCAATTAATTTCCTTCTATTTATAGTAGAGACAGGGTCTCGCTCTTGCTCAGGCTGGTTTTGAACTCCTGACCTCCAGCAGTCCGCTCGCCTCGGCTTCCCTGAGTGCTAGGATTACAGGCGTCAGCCACCGCGCCTGGCCCAAATGAGTTTTGATGGTAGAGAGAAGATCAGCCACTGGGTTGGTGGGTGACAGTGGGGCGGAGATGGACACCCAGGAGGGGAAATGAGAGCAGCACTTGCTTTGAGGACTTGAGTCTATAATCAGTTACCTATTATTGCATAAATAATTAGCCCAAGACTAAGTGGCTTAAAAAAACAGTCATTATTTAGCTCACAATAAAGGTATGGGATCAATTTGGTGGTTTCCCTGCTAGTCTTCTCTGGGCTTATCATGAGTCGCCTGCCGTTTCTGGATAAGTTAATGGGTCAGCTGGGGCTTGGCTGGTCCTCGATGGCTTCCTTCAGGTCAGGTGCTTGGCTGGCTGTTGCTGGCACATCTTGGCTCTCCTCCAGTGGCCTTTTATCCTCTAGCAGGTTAGCAGTAGCCTGAAAAGCGCTCATCTTAGGTTTCCAGGTGCAGGAAGGGAGCAAGCTTGAATGCACAAGAACTTTTCAAGCTTAAGCCTCTGTTTATTAGCTCCTTGCTAACGTCCCATTTGGCAGGTCATATGGCCAAACCCAGATTCAAAGTGCAGAAAAATGGAATCTGTCTCTCAATGGGAGGAGGTATTTAATGCAATGTCACAGAGTGGGGAAGAATATGAGGTTATTTTGCCATCTACACATAAGTCTAGGCTGAGGGGAGGACTGCAGGTTGGAGAGGATGGAAGAGAAAGGTGCAGAGAGGAGGAAGGGTGGGGCATATCTTTGTCTACTTCACAGCTTTTCCTGGTGCTGCCCTAACTTGGTTTAAGTGCCACTGTGTAGTATAAAGAATTTCGGAATTCAGGCAGATTCTGAAATCAAAGTTAGCACCAGAAATTACTTAGAAAGGGAAAACTAGTAGAAGAAAGGCATATGGAGGATACATATCGTAAGAGTATTTTAAAATGCTGCACAAGATAGCCCTAGATATTATTTTAACTCAGCCCAGTAATCTAGAGCTGGTATTATCCTCCCATTATCTGCATAGTAAAACTAGGCAAGGGGATATTATCCAACTCATAAAATTTTGTGCAGGGAGCTTGAGAAAAACAGAATCATGCTTATTAAAGCTGAAACTATACACTGATGAAATGGTATCATTTTCTGTATGATACCTTTTCCACAGTTACCATGGTTTTCCATGGTTGTGGACAACCATGGTTAAGAGTAGGCATCTTACGTAGTTTCCTTTTCATTAGCTGTGTCAAGAGAATGAAAGGACAATGTCTATGGCTAATATTACTGAATTGTGCATTCTGGAGCCTTAATGAGATGGCGAATGATCTGAGCAGAGCATCATTTCAGATGTAGAAGGAGGTGGGGGGTGGTGTGAGGGAGCTGCTTTTCCGTCAGTGAGCTCATCTACCAAGGGAAGGAATGAAGACAGCAAGTGGGGCCAAGGGAAAACTGCCTCATTGTCTCCTCATCTGGCCCCTCCCCTCCCCGCCGCGCCCCTCCCCTCTCCTCTCTAGGTAGCCTCAGATCTTGAGGTCTCTGACCTTCAATTTGTCCTTGGTAAAATGAGGACAATAATATCTGTGTCTCAGACTGTTGTGCAATCTACCTTAAAATCAAGACCTGAACTTTACATCACTCAGGACTCCTTTACCTCTCATCTTTTTTGTTTGTTCACTTGATTTTTTAAAAAAAGTTTTATTTTAAAATAATTTCAAACTTACAGAAAGGTTGAAAGAATAATAGAGATCTATCATATACTCTTCATCCAAATTTAACAATTTTTAACCCTTTGCCACATTTTAATCCTTTGCCACATTTGCTTTATTTATTCTCTCTCTAGCTTCCCAAATTTTAATTTATTTTATGAACTGTTTGAGAGTAGGCTGAAATATCATTCTCTCTTACCTCTTAGTACTTTACTGTGTATTTCCTAAGGAAAAAAAAGGATATTCTTTTATATTACCATGGTACAGTTGTCAAATTCATAAAAATTAACATACAATACTTTAACCTAATCTATAGTCCATAATCCAATTTGTCAATTCCCCTTATAATGTCTGTATAGCATTTCCCCTTCCAATACAGAAACCAGTTCAGGATCCTATATTGCAACTGATTGTTATCCAAGTCTGGAAGATTTCCTCAGCTTTTCTTTATTTTTCATGACATTGATATTTTCAAAGAATACAAGACAGGTATTTCATAGAATGTTTAAAACCTTAGGTTTGTCTGATGTTTTCTAATAATTAGATTCAGATCATGCCTTCCTAGCTTCGTATGACATCAGTGATGTGTCCTGAGTCTCGGGCACATAATGCCTGTCTGCCCCTCACTGGTGATGTTAATTTGATCATCTCATCAAGATGTTGCCTGGCTTTTCCACTGTGTAGTTATTATTTCCCTCTTTCACCCACTAAGTAATCTGTGGGGAGATATTTTGGGACTATGCACATATCCTTCTCCTCATCAAACTTTTCCCCCTGGGTTTTGCTTCCACTGCTTATTCTTATCTGAATGAATCTCTCTTATGATAGTTGCAGGATTTTCTTTATTTATCTCATTCCATAGTTTTATCTGTCTTTTTCCACAGTTGGAACCCAGCTCCCAACATTATCACATTGTTCATTTTCTCAATATTGTGATACCCCAAAATTATTTTCAGAATTGCTATATCCATATTACAGTGAAAGATAAGCCTACTAGAAAGTAGCACAAGGTTTGTTTGCAGTTTTTTTATTCTCCAGATTGTGGATCCATTGTCAAAATAATGTGCTCAAAAGTTACTTGCATTCTCTCTTTTTTCCCTTCTGTGTGATGCTTATCCTTTCCTGCTTTATTTATTTATTTATTTTTGAGATGGAGTCTTGCTATGTTGCCCAGGCTGGAGTGCAGTGAGCTATGCACTCCAGCATAGAGTGAGATCCCATCTCTAAAAAAAAAATCTATGTCATACCATAATAGTCTGCCCAGGCTGCCATGACAGAATATCACAGACTAGGTAGCTTAAATAACAGGATTTTATTTCTCACTGCTTTGAAGGGTGGAAGTCCAATATTAAGGCACCAGTTAGGTTGGATTCTGTTAAGGCCTCTCTCCTGGCTTGCAGATGGCTGGCTGCCTTTAACTATGTCCTTACATGGCATTTTCTCTGTGTGCACACTTTTGATGTCTTTTCCTCAGCTTATAAGGACATCAGTCCTATTGAATTAGGGCCCTGCCCTTATGACCTCATTTAACTGTAATTACCTCCTTAAGGGCCCTTTCTCCCAAAACAGCCACTGGGGGTGAAGGCTTCAACAAATGAATTTGCAATGACATGATTCAGTTCATAAAACCTACTATCCTTCCAGCTTTCTCATTCTTCCTCCTGTGAAGCTCTTGAGACTTCTTTTGAAACTCATCAAGGCTCCTAATTCCTTTTGGTTTATTTCCTTCCTTGTTTACCTATTTATTTGCCTATTCATTCTTGCACAATTCATCTGATCATTCATTAATTTACTTATCTAAAAGCTATTTATTGAACACCTGCTAAGGGATAAAGCACATAGGAGATAATAATAATGAGGAGAAAAACAGAAAAAGGCTATATTCTGGAGCTTAGAGTCAAGTGGGGGAGTCTGGCATTAAAAAGAGTCAGCTAAGTAAAAATTATATTTTTAATTAATTAATTATTTTTTGAGACAGAGTCTCACTCTGTTGCCTGGGCTAGAGTGCCATGGCATCAGCCTAGCTCACAGCAACCTCAAACTCCTGGGCTCAAGCAATCCTTCTGCCTCAGCCTCCCGAGAAGCTGGGACTACAGGCATGCACCACCATGCCTGGCTAATTTTTTTCTATATATTTTTAGTTGGTCAATTAATTTCTTTCTATTTTTAGTAGTGACAGGGTCTTGCTCTTGCTCAGGCTGGTCTCAAACTCCTAAAGTTGAGCAATCCTCCTGCCTCGGCCTCCCAGAGTGCTAGGATTACAGGCGTGAGCCACCACGCCTGGCCTTTAATTTTTTAAACATGTAAAATTACAGTGCAATTGTGCTCCAAAGAATATATATGAGAAAATGCAAGAGGAGGGAATTGACCTAGTTGAGGTGGTCAGGGAAGGCATCTCCAATAAAATGATATTCATCCTGGGATCTAAGTAGAGTTAACTGAGAGAAGAGAAGTAAACAGAGAGGGAGGTAGAGGTAGTAGGAAAATGATGGTTCCTAGCAAGGAACAGAACACCCTAAGGATTATCATTTTAATAATCTGCATCAATGCTATCAAGTTCTTTGCCAAAGGTCCAACACTGTTCCCTTTTTCCATATCCAACAGGCTATTACATAAATCATTTACATCTCTGCTCTTAGGACAATGTTGCTGTAAGTCACACCTCTGTGTGAATTACAGACATGCTACATAGGAAGTTTTGGTCAACAACAGGCTGCAGATACCATAGTGGTCCCATAAAATTATAATACCATTTTTTATTGTACCTTTTCTATGTTCAGATATGTTTAGATACACAAATACCATTGTGTTAAAATTACCTATAGTTTACAGAACAATAACATGCTGTACAGGCTTACAGCCTAGGAGCAATAGGCTATCCCATCTAGCCTAGGTGTGCCGTAGGTTATATACCATCAAGGTTTGTGTAAGTACACTCTGTGATATTTGCACAATGATGGAATCACCTAACAAAGCATTGCTCAGCAGTCATCCCTGTTGTTAAGCGATGCATGACTTGTAGTTCCATCACAGATTTATCATTTCCAGTGTGACAAATGATTGTAGTTCCACTGCAGATTTGTCATCTTCAGTACTAGTTGTCTGCTTGCTGATGTTTCTGTGTTTCTGAGTGATTCTTTTTCTATTGCTATTTCTCGACAGCTATTTTAAACCTGGCCCATTCTCCTTGAGCATTCTGGTCTATTACCTCCTTCTACAGAATGAATGAATTTACCTAGCTTATAGAGAATAGAAGCTATTATATGAGAATACCCTAAATATCAATTGTTCCATATGCTAGTAAAGTTGGTACTATCTCTTCAGCCCCCTCAGCTCCCCCAGCACCAAACTGATCTGTATCTTCTCTCATTCTTCTCTATTCCTCTATTATCTCTGTTGAAGAGATGGTTTTCTTCTTCTTCTTCTTCTTTTTTTTTTGTATATCTGATGTACCTCTAGTGCTGAAGTGAGATGGAGGGAGAGGTGGGGCCCTAGGCTGAATGTCCTCTGGAGTCTAGGTTGACAAAGTCAAGGAATTGCACTTAGCCTGAGACTTAACTAGTGGGGAGAAATGCTGGCTCTAGAAGCTAGAAAGGTGTCCATGATGGTTGCCAAACCAATAAGGAGGTCTGATTTGGAGAATTATATTATGAATATAAGAATTTAAAGAGACTCAGAGATAAAAGCAAGATAATTATACTGGTTGAATTTCTGAGATGAGGTTGTTACATGTGGCTTGCCCTCATGTACCATACTCTATATCAGTTAGCTATTATTGTGTAATAAACCATCACAAAATTTAGTGATGAGATGACAATCATTTATTATTCCTCATGGGCTACGGGTGGCTGGGGATGGCTGATTTTAACTGAGCTTACTCAAGTGTTGGTGGTCAGCTTTTGGGTTGACTCCATGCTGGTTGGTCTAGAATGATCTTAGCTGGGGCAACTCACTTTCTCAAGGATGTCTTTCACTTTCTTCTAGCCAGCTAACATGGGCATGTTCTTACAGTAGAATGATGGGAGGCATCCAAGAGGGGAAGCTAAAACATTAGCTTTTTTTTTTGACCCAGAGTCTCGCTCTGTTGCCCAGGCTAGAGTGCCATGCCGTTGGCCTAGCTCACAGCAACCTCAAATTCCTGGGCTTAAGCGATCCTCCTGCCTCAGCCTCTTGAGTAGCTGGGACTACAGGCATGCACCACCATGCCTGACTAATTTTTTTTATTTTTGGTAGAGACGGGGGTCTTGCTCTTGCTCAGACTGGTCTTGAACTCCTGAGCTCAACTGATCCACCTGCCTTGGCCTCCCAGAGTGCTAGGATGACAGGCGTGAGCCACTGTGCCCGCCCTGGACGGTAGTTTTAATTTTGATATTCCAAGACTTAGCAGTGTAGGCACTCAATGAATGCTTGATGTGTGAGGATTAAGTGCAAATTAGAGGTATAGAGTCTGTTTCTTGGCAGGTATTCAATAAATGTTTTCCAATATTTTAATAATGTTTGTGGAAGGTATTATTTATTATATGATATATTTTATTTTAGTAATATTTAATTATTTATCAGTTATTTATAATGTTAGGGTGATGTCTGTAGCTTGGCACTCTTTGTGTTACTCTTTGTTCCCTCATACACATTTCAGAATTTCAGTAGCATGTTTAGTGAAGTCTTTCTGCTTTAGTTTGTTCTACATTCTCACTTGTCAGTAAAGGTAATTACAAAGTGATTCTACAAACTGCTTACTTTCCTCATTATCCACACAAAATGAAAGTCTCTAGTTACTTGTATTTTTTTTTTCAGCACCCTCACAACCAAAAGTAACATCTTTTGTTAAGTTGTTAACTGACCTAAAATATAGGCATTTCCACTAAATCAAACTGAAAATAATCAGCTACGATTCTGCAAAAGAGACATAAAGAAATAAACATGACAATCAACACAAAGAAGGTTGGAAATCCTTTTAGAGAGATACAGTTTGCTAATGTGACTGTCTTCTCTTTTCACAAAGATTGAGTGCCCGGAGCCCCTGCTGGGGAGAGGGTAGAGGAGGAAGGGAGGAACTACAGGGACACAATTTAAATGTTTTGACAGCTTAGTCAAAGAAGTGAATTGCCACAGGCATTTGCACATTTTAACCCCTGCTGTGACAGCTACAATTCTTTTTTGTGCTGTCTAAATCCTAGAATCAGCTCTTTGGAAAGCTCAAAGTCGCATCCCTGACACGCGCACACACACACACACACACACACACACACACACACAAAACATGAAAAATATGAAAAAAAATCTGATAAGCAAGTAATTAAATATGCTCAAATCTCTGTTAGGTGCCAGTGATTTACCTTATCTTAATTTTCTTACTTTCATTTTTCATGAGGCATTAACCTAGAGTGCTGGAGCACTGTGCCTTATTCTCTTGGGCCCCATGTGTAAAATTTCAAGAACACATTCTGGCAGGGTGAGCAGATTTTATTGTGAGGAATATGATTATGATACGCTACAATTCAGTTCCGGAGTTTACTGAGCTAGTCCTTCATAATCCATAGATGCTTCTGCTCATTTCTTTTGTCAAAACAATGCTTATTGGAAGTCGCAAGTCAACCAACAATAAAAATTTCTCATTGTTGGAACAAGGTATGGTTTTTAGAATGGCAGGAGCTCTCCCTGTCTTCTCTTTGTCTCTGACTCTCTCTTTCTTCCTTCTTCTGCACCTTATCCTTCTGCTCCTCATCCCTCAAATCGTGGCACCTAACTAAACAGGGAGTAAGAAGAGTAAAGGAAAAGAGGACTGTGGTATTTGGGACATTGACTTAACATAGCATTTTATCCTACTAGCAGGATTTATGTTGTTGATCTGACTATTGTTTGAAATGAAATTTGGTAGCACTAAGCTTTGGGCAGCATTAAAAAATTTCAACTCACAGTTCATAATCATCTACTGCTGTGCTAGGTGCAAGAGAGAATTTAAGAAAAATAAAACAATGCCTGCATGCCGTGTCCCCCTACAAATGAACTAGGCGGGAGTGTACAATTCAGCAATTAAAATGCCTATTTTATAATTTATTAAACCAGTAAGAGTTTTTGTGAATAAATAAGGCCAGCATTTAATCATTTAAAATAAATTCTCTCCCTGAAATGTTATACTTAATTGTAGTGTGAAATCAATTCCAAATTTCTTGAAAAGTTTGATTTCCAATAAACTGCAGTATTTTCACCTTCTCTTTAATTACTGTCATTCTTTCCTGTGGTTTTTTCCTTTATAATTACTAAGACTAGATGATTTATTTCCACTTGAATTTAAAATAGTAAAGGGAAATAACTCAAAGTGCTGAGAATTTAGACGAATCAAGCAGACCAGCTTGAACAGAAAGTATGTATTGCTTTGCTTGTCAGATTAGTGGTTTCTATTAGCTGGCTTCATGGGGTTAATTTGAATTTCTTGCTTTCTTAAAATTATAAGACAACTGTGTAGCAAGATACCGTTTATTTTGAGCAAAAAAAAAAAGAGATTGTAAGACAACCACAATCTTAGGCACCTGCTTCTAGCGGTACATACCTGCCTTTAAATCTCTCTATCTATTGTAGTGGACTAAGTGGTTGCTCAGCCTTGAGAACAAGTAAATCTCCTTAAGCACTTAACTCACTACTGGGGAAAGATTTCTGGAACAGTTCATTATGTGTCACAGCAAGGATCAACACTCAACTAATGGATGAGAACAATACCAAATATTTTTAATAGAGACTAATTAGGAGGTAAGCAAGAGGAATTGTGTGGCTGCATGTTGTAGAAATAAAATTTTAGAGAATGGAAATAACAGTAGCAAAGGTTATTCCTCCACTTCTGCAACTTCTGTAGCAAAAAATCTTTGATCTTGTTGGGGCTCAAAAACAGCACCCTAAAGTATGGTGCTTTGGCTCATTGACTGGGAGGCCTCAGAAGCAAGTCTCTCTGTCTTTCTCCTGCCCCCTGTCTCTTGCTTCTTCCCCTGCCCCCAACAAGGGATAGAAACTAAAATTCCTCTTCCCCAAGGTGGGTCATAGGAACTAGAACCTTTCTTCCCCCCAAACAGCTGTAAAACCTAGAAATACTATTCTAACCTTCCCCAAGCCTTCTGTGTAGGCAGGAGCTCCCCATAAAGAAATTCTCTGGCTAGCCGGGTGCGGTGGCTCACGCCTGTAATCCTAGCACTCTGGGAGGCCAAGGCGACGGATTGCTCAAAGTCGTGAGTTCGAAACCAGCCTGCGTGAGACCGCCCCCACCCCCGTCTCTACTAAAAATAGAAAGAAATTAATTGACCAACTAAAAATATATATACAAAAAAATTTAGCCAGGCATGGTGGTGCATGCCTGTAGTCCCAGCTACTCAGGAGGCTGAGGCAGTGGGATCGCTTGAGCCCAGGAGTTTGAAGTTGCTGTGAGCAAGGCTGATGCCATGGCACTCACTCTAGCCTGGGCAACAAAGAGAGACTCTCTCAAAAAAAAAAAAAAAAGAAAAAAAAGAAAAGAAATTCTCTGGCTTACCTTCTCTGATAGTAGGTCACAAGACCCTCATTCTAGAGGGATCCTACCCTACACCCAGGAGGAAGGAATGTACACTCAGAGGGGCCAAGAAGGGTGTGAACAGACAGGCCTTGCTGGGTTTCCCCTTGCAGTCCATTACATTTTTGTCCAATCACGTTTCCACATGGCTGTCCATTCTTCATCAAATCTAAGCAATAAAAATGAAGTTTTCCCCAGGTCTTTATTTCTGAAGCCTCCTGTGTTACATAAAAATTAAAAAAATATTTTTTTTAGTGGCAGGATCAACCAGGTAAAAACTTTGATTAAATGAAGTTGTTATGCTTAACCTATCTTTTGTTATAGTAGTGTCAGACATGACCCTTACAAGGGTGAGGAAAGATATCACTTTTTTTGCCCATGCAGCCTGAAAACTGTCCCTGACAAATTGAACTCCACATGAGTTATGGAAATAGTGAATTTTAAAGCCCATAGCTACAAATTTTATAAACTTTGTTTCCAGTTTTTTTCCTTCATTTTGTGCCAGGGTGGAAGGGAGTATTTACAAAGATTTCTGAAGAACTGTCAGAATGTATTAACTCATTTATTTATCCCTTCATTTATTTGGCCAGTCAAGCTTCTTTGGAACGCTCACTTTTATTAGCTGCTATGCTAGTCAGTGCTTTGCCTTCAGCACACTTTCTGGCTGTGTAAACTAAACTGGGGTGCTATGGGTGAGGTGGTCCAGGGCGATGATGAAGGAAGTAAATAAATATTTTCAGGGACTAGTGTAATGTTTGGTGCATGAAAGTATTCTTAGTATATTTTGCCAGAGACATATAATGGAAAGTGCTGAATATTGTTGGCACTTATCTATGCTTTTGGAGGAAAACTGCTGGGTCTCTGTTGATAATAACTCCAATTTAAATATTTCATTTGAGTTTCATCTCATTATGTAATCATAGGTAAATACATTTTTTTAAAGAAGTATATTAATTCCAACACCATTGATTCAATCTTGGGATGTCTCAATTATTGTATGTACAACCTATATTAACACTGATTCATTGCCAGAGGTTGTTCCCAACAACCTTTAAAACTTTTCACATTAACCATAGAATTAACCAAACGTAGGTTTATAGCTACTTCATTCGTCCCTAACAAATAATAACTGTGTGCCTATGATATGCCAAAAACTTCATAGCTTAATACAACTGATGGAAATATTTCCTGATGGAAATATGTACATGACACACTGTTTGCTAAGTTGTATGGACTACATGATCCCATTTATGAATAACAAAGTACACATACATGCATAGAAACATGTAGAATGAGGTTGGTAATTGTTCTTATCCCTGGAGTACAGCATTACTGGCTGCCCAAATCATCTCACTTCTCTGGGAACTTCTCTTTCAAAACCCAAGAATAGATTTCTGCAGTCGCAGATAAACTACAAGCCCCTGCCTCTCCCTGACCTCAGCTAGTGGCGTGGGCGTCAGAACCAAGGAGAGCCAAAGCATTGCCTGGATTAAACCTGTTTGGATTCACTCTGATGGGGAGCTGGAATTGGGACACAGAAAATGCAGATGAATCGGTAAATTTGCTGGAGCTGAGAGGCTGAGAGTTTGAGCTTGTGTGTGAGGAGCACTACTCTGGGAGTGGAGCAAGAGAGACTATTTCCTGATTTCTTTCCAGTTCTAAGACTCAGCTGTGTGAATCTGCTTGTACTTTCTGCCTTGGAGTCCCTTGAGATATTTCCTATTTTTTTTTTATTTTTAAATAAAAAACACCTCTCTATACTCAATCTAGTTTGAGTGGAATTTTTGGTAACTTAGAAAACCTTTACAGTAGGTCACTCATTTCCTCTTTTTGAAGAATTCAATCCTGCTGTTCTAGGATCACATCCTCTAAGGTTGATATGTGATATCCATTTAAACAAGGCCAGTTTTGACCACCAAATAGACAGATAATATTTGTGGTTCCAACATATTTTAAGACCACTATTTCTAAGCAAAAATTTTTAGAAAGACTTTAAAGTTCTCATAGGTTCTAGACAGAATGTCTAAAGAAACAGCATTTTCATTGTCAAATATATAAGGGAATCAGAAATGACATTATTTCCCCTGAAAAATGCCATGGGACATTTTTTCTCCATATAGTTTATTGTATAATGACTTTACACATTTCAGAACCTTACCTTGTCTTTTTAGTTTGCAACTTTATCTTTTTTCTGTAATCTTTATTTTTTTTTCTTTACTTCATTGTATAAATAAAATTTGAAACCACTCTTCTCAGATGTGAACATCTTCTCAGATGTTCACAAACAGATAATTGAATAAACCTGTTTAGCTGTAAGTATTTAAAGATCTCTTAACAAGACCCATAAATACCACTTAGAATTGCTTTTACTAGTTTAAAAACAGTGCAGGAAAGTAAAATTTGTAGAAGACATAATATTACTCTACCGAAAAAAGATATTTATTTATTTATTTATTTTTGAGACAGAGTCTTGCTTGTTGACCAGGCTAGAGTGAGTGCCGTGGCGTCAGCCTAGCTCACAGCAACCTCAAACTCCTGGGCTCAAGCGATCCTCCTGCCTCAGCCTCCCGAGTAGCTGGGACTACAGGCATGCACCACCATGCCTGGCTAATTTTATATATATATTAGTTGGCCAATTAATTTCTTTCTATTTATAGTAGAGATGGGGGTCTTGGTCTTGCTCAGGGTGGTTTCGAACTCCTGACCTCGAGCAATCCGCCTGCCTCAGCCTCCCAGAGTGCTAGGATTACAGGCGTGAGCCACCGCGCCCGGCTCGAAAAAAGATATTTAAATGAACTAAAATGAACTTCTTTTATCAAAGTAAGTTTATGTCTTCTCATAGTTCTATTTTTTGAAGAAGAAAACCTCTTTAACTTGGAATGTTCCTCAATTTGAAGACTAAATCAGCCAAAATAATATTAGAATTTGATATATGATGCACTTCAGTCTCCTGTAGTGTAACTCAATTTGGTACATCAAATCAGTTTATTATGACAATTGGTTTATTTCTGATGAATGTTGCTATCAAATTTTCTCAATAACCACAACAAAACACCCACACTCTTAAAAAGCAAATGACTGGACTGTTATTTTATTCAAAGGCAAAATTTTTTTAATTATTCTGAGTTTCACATATTTTATTTATCCTTTCAGTTTCTACTATCATCCTCCTGATTTCATATTAGAAAGGTACCCAGAAGTCAACTGGGTTCTTCTTTGTTAAAAAAAAAAGGTAAAATATTTTAGTAATTATATAACACATTTCTGCTGCAGGCAAAAAACATCTTTCAGGCATTTTAATTAAGCCAACTAATTATGCATGCTAGCAAATAAACTGCATTTGATCTTTACAAAATCTATATTATAGCACATATG